TTGTTCTTTCCCAGGTGCAAAACTCTACACTAGCCCTGGTTGGATTTCATCAAATTCGTCCCCAACCAGCCCTCCAGCCTGTCTAAGTCTCTCTGAATGGCAGCTCAGCCTGCTGGGGTGTCAACCATTCCTTCCAGTTTTGTGCCATCAGCAAACTGGCTGACAGTGCTCTCTAATCCCTCATCCTGGTCACTGATGAATATATTGAACAGCAATGGCCCCAGCACTGACCCTTGGGGGACCCCACTAGATACAGGCCTCCAACTGGACTCTTATTAGCATGTAGGTTGCTTAATGAGAGGTTCCTGCATGCAGATATCATGATTTCTGTGTTATCTCAGGTCAGAAGGAATAATTTCAGTTGCTTATTGGCCCGTGCTGCCAGATCCAGCTCACTGTCCAATGCCCAGGGAAATCCATCATGGTATCCTGCTGGGAAAAGCTGGGTGGATAAATCTGTCAGTCTGGGATGCAAATAAATGATGGCCAAGGCTTGGGAACCACTTAGAGAGCGGATGGAGATGAACCCATCCGAATTCCCTCTGGCTGGAATCACACTATAAAGCCTCCAGTGAATGCCAGCAAATCACTGGCATCCTAAAAAAAGGTGAATTGCAGTAAATCAAACCCCTAAGCTGGTCGGGGTAGATAAGGACGGGCTTTCCTTACACTGCTCTGGTCCAGAGTCTACTAGAAAGGCTGTTTTTCTGAATCAGAACCAGTATTAACCTCTCCTGAGATTTTAGTAATAGGAATTTCCTTCTCCCCCATTTACCTCATCGGTATCATCAGGGAAATAAACCTTGTGGAAGATTTGGGTGGTTTTGTGTTGAATGGCTTCCACTTCTACCAGATGGGGCGGGTACTTCCTGGATCCATTCCTGCCAAACAGGAGGTAGTGAGTGTCACAGCATCAAGGTAGGAATCTTCCATTTTAATACATATGCTTTTTTGAGTAACTTTTTTAGTATTAGGGGTTTTTTTCCCTCTTAAAAAGAAGGAAGAAAAATTGTAATAGGGAATATATATATCTTAAATTGTAGGTGATTTAATGGACCTGGACATGGTCAACTTAATTAATCTCTATTCCCCCCTCGCCCAGTTTATCAGCAACATCCTCCACCCAGTGTCCGTTTCATTCAGCTTGGTCGAACACAAGGAGAGGCTATGAACCTGTCCCCCCCGCAGCCACCAGAATATGTCCTATTCCCATTTTTTCAGACGTATTTGGCTGCTGTGACGTGGTCAGGACTAGGAGATCTTTTTGGTGCCATACCTCAGGGCTTTCTGGAGTCTCTGGATGCAGTCTGCTGCCAAGGGGTGATGTTTCCGGGACTGCAGGAACCTCTGGACATGGGGCAGGAGGATGTTACTTGGAGGGAAAAGGCCTGTACACAACCACAACAGCTCCCAGCCTTTCTCCTCACTGTACCTATACAGGGAGAGACCCAGGATGGGAAAAAAAAAATAAAAAAAAATTACTCTTGGCATGGACAGTTCAGATCTGCTTTGCCCAACATGGGCATTTGGGCCAAGAGGAATGAACAACACTTACTTGATGTGGTTGTCTGTGAGTTGCTTGAGGGTCTGGCAGTAGATTTCATCCTTCAGGGGTTCCGCTTTCAAGGCACCTTCAAATATTTGGTCTGTCAGCTCATTAACCGAGCGTGTCCTTTTGGACGGGTAGTCACCCATATACTTGAGCACTGGTGGGAGGTGGGAGTCAAGGCTCAGCTAAACGGGATGTCTGGGGAAGCCCTTCTGCTGCTGATGTGATTAAAGACATCCTACACATAACTGCAGAAGCAGCTGCCATTTGTTGGAGGGGGCAAGGTTTTCAGTTGCTTTAGGAGGTGGCCAGCAAGCTCTCCCCCTTTACCGTGGATCATCTCTTCATCACACACCACCTCTTTGTCAAGCATCGTCTCAAGTTGCAACAAATATTTTGGGCTTGGGATAACCTAAGAAAGACCTGGTAGATCTAAGATAGCTGTACGTGATCATGTGTTACCTAATCACACATACAGGCACCGCTGTAAAAGACCAGATTTTCAGCTAGTGCTAGACACCAGTGGAGGTGCGGTAACGTCAACCAAGTGATGACCAAATCACCATCGTGCCACGTTGCAACTGTTCTGCATGAGAACAAGCCACGGTTTTCTCAGTGAACATGGCCGACAAAGCAAGAGGAGAAGGATAAAATTGAGAATGTCCTCTTGTTTTTTTGCCAGTTCTTTTGATTCCTCTTCCTGTTATTATTTGCTGGTAAGAGGAATCAGCAGTGGCAGTGACAGGTAATATAGTGTAATACTAATATATTGGTGTAGTCTAATATTAATACAGTGATAGATAATATAGTGTAGTATCAATCAGTAACAGGCTTATACCAACGGAACTGTTCAAATCACAACTTTTGAACCTTCCACAGCAGATGCATTTTGGAGACACACAGCTGAAGCAAGACAGAACAGAGTCGGTGAGTTAACCACTAAGCCATGTGGACCATCAGGACTCAGTAACCTGATCCCTGGCCCTCCTTTATTAAGAAGTAGACACCCCTCAGATCCCAAGGATGCTTGAGAACAGATTTCAGGATCAGACCTATCTCCGAGCCTGTGACATGATGCTGACGTCCTTAAGAGGGACCACAAACCTTCCCATGGGCTTCGCTTGGGGCCCTGAAGAGCCTGCTCAGCCCTTTGCCTGACAGACCTGTTGCCCCAGGGCTCCCCCAGGCAGTGGAAGGATATCAATGAAGGCCATGCAAGCTTCTTGGGACAGCTCCTCACTACCCAGGATCTTCTTCAGCAAGGGCTGTTTGATGGGCTCACGGGTGTAACACCACAGCTTGTCCTTCCCGCGGCTCTTGGTGATCATGACCCGGCTGAGGGTGTGCTTGGGAGGCGGCCTGGTGGCAAAACAAGAGGAAAGGCGGAGAGGTTACAGGGATAAAATGGGCAGCTTGAGCCAATCATAGGATCATACAATCCTTTTGGTTGGAAAAGACCTTGAAGAAAATCAAGTCCAACCATTATCTAACTCTACCAGACCCGTTTCTAATCCACATCTCTGAGCACCGTATCTAGATAGCTTTTAAACATATCCAAGAATGGCGATTCAACCACTTCCCTGGGCTGCCTGTTCCAGTCTTTGATAACCCTTTCAGTGTAGAAGCTTCTCCTAATGTCTAACCTAAACCACCCCTGGCACCACTTGAGGCCATTTCTTCTGGGAAGGTTGCTCACAGAACCTGGCTAATGAACTCTTACACCAAATGGGACTTCATATTTATGAAGTTATCCAGTTCTACCCCAAAATAACCATTTGCACTTGCCTAGAAAAGTCTCTTAAGGATCCTACCCAAGTGCTGACACCAAAACAACCTTCTCTATGCCAAACACCTTCTATCCACGGGAGGAAGGGTGATGGCAAGGGATGGTCAGGGCAGCAACACTGAAAGAATATCACCTAGCAGAACAAGCCTACAGGGGTGAAGACATCCCAGAGGATGTGGTCAGTCTGTTTGGATTGCCAGCCCTCCTGAACAGGAGGGGAGGGAGTTTGGGATTAGTCTAGTCAGCTGCATTCTATGATTCCGTGATTCTGTGATTCTATGATTCCATGATTCTATGATTCTATGATTCTATGATTCCATGTTTCTATGATTCTATCCTATTCAGCAGTGGTGGTGCACACTGAAATTTTGGAGCTGAGATGAAAAAGCCTGCACCTAATTCCGCTGCTGCTTTTCTGCAGCCTGAGGCTGCGTATGGAATCCCAGGAAAGGAACATCAGATCACTAAGCACAGCCTCCCTCATAACACTGAATTTCACACTTGTTTCACCTGTGCTCAGCCAATCTGAATAAACTGTAAAGAAATCGTGAAACCTTGCCAGTGGAAAACCTGCAGCTCAAATGCCATGACCTACACTTGGAGGTTGCGGTTGTACAAAGTCACACAAGGGGATATTCGGAGTGTTTTCCAGCAGCTGAAAATTTCCCAAGCTACCTCGGGATGGATTCCTATAGTTAGAGATCTCTTTTTTTTTTTTTTTTTTTTTTAAAAATCACCTAAAATAATCGTAGGAAAATTCCTCCAAGGTGTATGGCTTGACTCTCTCTTCAGTGTCTGAAATTGCCAGCTGAGAGGTTCTGATCACATCTTGTCGTTGGTCAGGGGTCATCGTGACCAGTGCCTGTGGGATGAAAAGGTCTCTGTCACACAGTATATATTTCATGCAAGATGCATCTGATGTATCCAGGGAGAGAAAGCAGACACAACACAAAAAGAACAGGGAGTGAATAAGAATAACCCATTAATTCCACATAATAGCAAAGAACTGGACAACTGTCATTTCTCTGTGCCATTCTCAGTCACTAATGCCAGAAATAACAAATGTTTCCATGGATCATAATGTTTTTCCACGGATCATAAGGAAAATAATGTGGTTTGGATCCTACAACTCTGTATGTGAATGCAGTGCTTCTCTCTAGCCCCTAATACACCTTCAAGGAGCGGGGCCAGCTGCAGGGATTCACCACGATTCGTGGATATTGCAAGTCATGAACCTGTGGTGTTCAAAGTGACAAGAAAAAAGGCTGAAATCATTGGTACCTTGGACAACTTGTCACCTCTCAGCCACTTTGGCTTGCACCTCATCATCAGGTTGTCTCTGGCCAGATTTTCAGGCAGACTTTGACCTCCTCAGACTGTACCACTCTGTAAGACAGCTTACCACGATCTCCAGCGGAGGCATGGTGACTGTAGGCAAGACGTAGACGGAATCGGTTGGGAAATCCCCTTTCTGCTTGGTCCGTTCATTGAACCCGTTAGCCCACCCTGAGTTCATCACATGTTCTCCTGTGTCCTGGTCCAGAACTATGAGGTCTCCTTTGAGGAAGCTGAGGAAACCAGATTCTTCTCCCGCTGCAAGAAAAACAACCATTAATTTTTTTTTTAATTTTTTTTCCCCCCAAAAAATCCCTTGGGAGTAATTAATCTGTTTATCACTGCGCTGAGCCATTTACTCACCAGGGTTTGGGTTGTCTTGGAGAGTCACCACATATTTGGACCTTTTCCTTAATCCTTCAAGAAAGGTCACCACCAGGTCCCGGATATCCTCTGCATTGTTGGAGGTGAAAGTGTATTCATCACCTTTAATGGTGGCCAAAGTGAAACTCTGCCCTTGCAGTTTTCCCCCTCTGGGATATATATATATTTTTTAATAGGAGACATAAACAAGAAACATAACGGCATCAAGAGACAAAGCCTGGAAAAAGCCTGGTTTATGGTGAGGTAACCAGCGAAGTCCCTTCCTCCGTACCTGCTGCTTGACACAGCCGTGATCTCTGGGAATGAGAGCTCTAAGAGAACCTGCTCCTGCTCATCCACAAAGTACACCCCAGTCCAGTTGACAGCTACGATCACATCATTTTTAGGCAGGCTTGGCCCTGGTTTGAAGGCAAGACATGCAATCAGTTCACAAAGAGTCTCAGGGCAGAGAAGGAAGATGCAATCATCAAACACCTCAGTGTTCTTTGTAGTGAGAGAAATAGAATCCTAGAATCATTCAGGTTGGAAAAGCCCCTTGGGATCATTGAGTCCAAACACTGACTTTACTCTACAGAGCTCACCCCTAAACCATCTCCCTCAGCCCCACATCTCAACGATCTTTCAACAGTGTCAGACTCTTAGCTTGAGCCATTGCAAATCAGGACGCACCAAAAAAAAGAATGCATTCAGAAGAAACCAGCTAGATGGCCCATTAAGTCTTCTTGTCTGTGGAGTCCCTATCTCTCCTTCCTTCTTGCTTTGGAGCATCCTTGTGCTCTGCTGACTCACCTGAGAATTTGAAGGCTTCATAAAACCGAGAAAACAGCAAAGGCCACTTGAAACGTGCAAAATCCACTACCTCTTCCTTGACTTTTTTGGGGTCTGCCCTCTTCTGAGTATAAATTCCCTAGGGACAAAGCAAACCACGACAAGCATGAAGCACAATCCCAGTTATACCCAGGAAGAAAGCAAACAAATCCATTTTGTGTCACCTGAAGATCTTGGAACTAATATTAATCGAGGTCTCAGCATGGCTAACGGCCAAAGAAAATCCTACAGGAACAAGTGATAGTTTGGACAAAGTCTTGGCCTTTTGAGCCTCGCTTCAGGGAACAATTTGGCTTTAAGAAGGCTGGGCAAGCATCTAGAGTGACCAGCTTGGTGGGATTCATCTCAGCTAACTTTGAATCTCCTTAAGGCAAGTGTCTACCTTTCAGCTCGACAGTCCTTTAGCTAGAAATGGATGCTCAACAAGCCTTGAAGCAGAGGCATCTGGCTTTATTTAGGATGTCCTCAGATACCTCACACTCCTGTATGTAGCTGACAGGTTGATGGAGGATCTGCAAGATCCAACTAAATTGCATCCCCGGGTCTCCATTGACAGCAACGGGAGGAAGTTTACCTTTTAGAGTTCTTAATCTAAAGCTGGCTCCTGCTGGTAAATGAATGTCAGTTCTCATGCCTGGATGATCAACTCTCAGGGCTGGTCATGAGTCACGGGCAACGAGTTATGGAAGGCGCCACCGTGGGAGGGTGTCACAGATGTTCTAATGGAAGTCAGGGAGGTTTTATTCAATGCCTGGTACAAAGAAGTCCTGACATTGCCTGGTGACATGAACTGACACTCTAATGCAACCAATAACATCACGGTCCTCTGTAAGAGGAGTGGGACCATGAAATTTTGGTTCTCACAGTGAATCTCCACAGGTTGTCCTCTTCTATCAGATCTTACCTCAAAACCAGCTGTAAAGCTGAGTATGGTTAGTCCAAAACATGCCCTTTCTCTTTGATTTAGCTTCAGACTAAGGTAGAAGCTGAGCTCTGATGTCTGATGTATGTTTAAAAGGTACATGAAGCTACTGAAGCATGCCCTGGTCCTTGCCACATTTGTCCTCACCTTTTTATGTGCAGCTATAATGAGCTGAGCCCATTTTTCCACTGTTTTCGAAGCTGTGATCTCTCTGTCCGGGATGTAGGATGGAATCAGGTTTAGGAGCCTTTCCAGCACCATCTCTGACCCATAGTCCACATAATACTGCTGGGAAGACAGTTCTGCCAGATCTTCTTCCTGTGGAAGCCATAAAAACCAAGTTAATGCTGTTACTAGCACCTCAGCATCCATTCTCTGTCACTCCAGGGACCTCTTTGTGGAGGCTGGATTCACCACCACTTTGGAACAGTGTGGGGCTGCTTCCTTTCAGCAGAACTTCACCAGAGCTTTTTGCACATCTACACTCCAGGAGTCTGACCACTAAAAGCTATGAGGAAGCCTTCACAGGTGCAGTGACCAGCATCACCCAACCCTGTACTGCGTGTGAGCATGTTTCTTCTGGTCTTTCCTTGCAGTTCTGTCTCCTCCTGATGCCTGCAGTCAGCAATGGGACATTTTGCTGTGGTGGACAGAGTTTTATGATTGAAAGCTGCCTGTGTCCATCATCTCTCACACTTGAGAAGACCAGCAACTGAGGCACCCATACATAATACAGAACTGCAGAATGTTCTTCAGTGCCACTACATTGGGTTGAAATACTAGAGCTACTCAGATAATAACAGCACAAGGAGACCAGGAGGAAGACAAGAGGAGGAAGAAAGGTGGGACTTCTGATAGGATAAAAGAGCTGCAGTTAATGCAATATAGATGGGAAAACATTTGTTCCTGAGGTGACCAGATTCTACTGGACCACAGGAGAATGATTCAGTGTTGGGGAAGAGAGATATTTTCAATTTGACACCTGGATGATTCTAAACACAAGCAAAGAAAATTTGCAATTGACATTGTCAGAGATTTTGATGTTTCTTGAGAGGCTTTTTCAGCAACAGTGAATAATTCTGTAAGCTTCCGGTGACTCTAGAGATAGAAGTTTCTGCTGCCAATGTCCCTCCAGCATATGGCAGCCTCACGGGGTTTGTATTGCATGGCAGAGGTGTGAATATCCCGAAAAGCATCTCTCCTGTCTGAGGCTTAGCAGGATTCGCCAAACAGGTGAATCCAAGTGAATCCAGGATTCACCAAACAGATCCTGCTCTGTACTCCTGATCCGCTGATCTGGTTACAGATGACCTGTGACACTCCCAGCTGAGGCTTGATGGATGAAGAGTCTTCATCCAAAATTCACCAGGAGAGAGTCTGATCTGTCTCACCAGGCAGAGTCCTGTCTGTCCCCATCCAAGAGGATGTGATTCCTGTAGCTACTTTTCCCCAAGTGAATAACACAATCCCCAAGGTAGAGGGTGTTCAGGGAGGAAGATTTCCTATTTCACCATGTCGTGGACATGTGTTGGACCAGACCAGCAGGTTCTGAGGTCACGTACCTTATCACACCGGTACTCCCCGAACTTCACCCCTCGCACAATCTGTTGGTAAATGAGATTGGTGGCCACGTTGTCCTCACTCGGATTATGCCAAGGAGTGAAGATCTCCTTCCTGAAGAAGAGCCGCCACGGCGCGTTGCGCTCCTGCGCTCCTTGCTCCTTGGCGTACTGCTCGCACTGAGACACGGCGTCCATCACGTGGTCATTGCCGCTCCCCAGTGAGGAGACCTGGTCAGGGCAGAAGGAAAAGTGGCATTCACTCGAGGTATTTATCTCTGGGTCACTCATCTTGGAGTCTTGGTACACAGTAAGTTAACCAGGAGCCAGAAACTTGCCCTTGTGGCCAAGAAAACCAGTGGTGGCCTGGGCTGCATAAAGAAGAGTGGGTCTAGTAGGTCAAGGGAGGTCATCTTCCCTCTCTGCTCTGCCCTGGTGAGGCCACGTCTTTGTCCAGTTCTGGGCTCCCCAGTTCAAGAGAGACAGGGAACTGCTGGAGAGAGTCCAGCAGAGGACAACAAAGATGGTTGGGGAACTGGAGCATCTCTCTTATGAGGAAAGATTAAGCGAGCTGGGGCTGCTTAGCCTGGAGAGGAGAAGGCTGAGAGGAGACCTTCTCAACATCCATAAGTATCTAAAGGGTGGGTGCAGGGAGGATGGAGCTGGACTCATTTCAGTGGTGCCCAGTGACAGGACAAGGGACAACGGGCACAAAGTGGAACACAGGGAGTTTCATCTGACTGTAAGAAAGAACTTCTTTCCTGTGAGGGTGACAGAGCCCTGGCACAGGCGGCCCAGGGAGGTCGCGGAATGTCCATGTTTGAAGACTTTCAAAACCTGCCTGGATGCATTCCTGTGTGACATGCTCTGGGCAATCCTGCTTTAGCAGAGGGTTTGGACTAGGTGATCTCTAGAGTTGCCTTTCCAACTCCAACCATTCTGTAATTCTGCGACTTCCTTTATAATCAAAATAAATCAAAGTATTTAGGTCTACTAGCCAGCCAGGATTGAACAGATCTACTTGGGTGAGCCACTTTGGTTTGAATCTCAAGTTTCCCCCCTGGAATGAAAGAAGAGCATCAAATGAATTAGCAAAGGAAGTGGTTCCATTATAAAGTATTATTTATTTATTCATACTGTGCTTTGAAACACCCTGTTTCAAAGTCATGGACTTGCATCCAACCATGCTAAGCATCAGACATACACTGAATAAAAAGCCTGGCCCTGTTACGGAAGATTTATCACCTCTGTCGCCTCACTGTGATCTGGCATGAAGCCCTATGGCACTATATTTCCTCAGAGTGAGCATCCTTGGATGAATGTCTCCTCAAAAAAGACTAAGAAGATGGAGTATAAAACATTTTCTTCTCCACCCACAGGCAGAAGTGTCCACATCTAAGAGATGAGAATATACTTCATCCTCTTACACGTTAGCTGCAGGAATAATTCTGTTTCTTGGCTTTCAGCTCTTGTCTCACCTGATCATGTTTTACTCTAGGTCTGTTTTCCATTCTCTTTTATGTTCACCTTTATTATGGAATTTCTGAGAAAGGTGTGTTTTTAGGTTAAATAAAACAGGTTAAATGCCAACGAAGATACAGCAGTTAAGACTTATTTTAGAAGCTTAACTTCAACCAATAGCTTCACAATTAAACGTAGATGCTCCCTTGCATAAAAATCCAGGCTGTTTGTTTTACTGGGTAACTTGTCTCTCACAAGAGCATAACATGACAGAATAATCATAGAATCCTAGAATGTTGGAAGGGACCTCAGAGATCACCTCATCCAACCCCTGCCATGGGCAGGGATGCCCTTAACCAGCCCAGGTTGCTCGAGAGCTCAACCAACTTGGCCTTGAACATCTCCAGGGAGGGGGCAGCCACAACCTCTCCAGACAATCTAGTCCAAAGTCTTGCCACCCTCGCACTGAAGAATTGAAAATAATGCAGGTGGAAAGACATTTCTGGCAGTTTCTGATCCAGCCCACTGCTCAGAGCAGGTCCATCTTTGATCCGGTTGCTCTGTGATTTCTCCCATTAAATCTTGAATACCTCCAAGGAGGGAGATTTCACAGTGTCTTTACAAACCTGCTCCAGCCCTTGACTACTCTTGACTGTGAAAAGTCATTCTGGCACTTGCACTATAGAAATGTTCCTTCCTGACCTCAAGGCTGGCCATTTGCTCAGAGCACCGGGTCCTCCAGCCCTCTGGAAGATACGTGATGGCAAGGAGAACCTCCCTCTTCTTTCACTGAGCTAGTCAAAAATGTGACTTAAGACATACCTTATCAAAAAGTGCAATGTAAAGCGAAAAGCCAAATCGGTCCTTCAGGCTGATCTTGTCGGCCAAAGAATTACAGAGCTCTTTAGCGGTTGTTGCGGAGTCGGTCAGCAGCGTTTTCGTTGTCCCATCCATGAAAGTGACAGGCAGCATGATAGGTTTCTTGGACTTGGTTGCCTGATGGGTTAAAGGCAAACTTTTAAAGTCTTTCAAAAGCTTTCAAAGGGTTTCAATCCCATCGAGACTATTTACCGACATACTCTTCCGGCCACCTGTGGTAGCTATTTTCTAGTCTCTGCTCCCACTGACTGGCTGCTTTTCAATACTGCCATAACATACTTCTCAGCAGGACAATGTGTGCTCAGCCACTGGAAGCACTTGGAAGTCCCAGATTTTTTAATTTAATACATTCAGTCATTAAAGTGCCTAACTCAGTAAATCCAAGCATGCCTGGGAGGAGCACGGCTGTCTATGCTAGTAAACCAGCAGAGAAAATAAACGATTATTGCACAAACTGAATCTGTTCCAGCTACTGCTGTCCCTGAAAAGGTCCCAGGGATTATTCTCAGTGGGTAGTTTCATCTGGAAGACAATTTCCTAGCCTGGATGGGGACTTGCTCTGTGCCAGCTGGCTTCAATGCCTGAGAGCACTCCTGAGCGCATTTAATTTACAAGTATTGAAGCAGATGAAGGGATTGATCTTCAATGTACTCTGGAGCAGAGCCAGGATGCATGGGGAATGCAATACCTCAGAAATACTTGAAAATTCTTGGGAGAAAGCGGCATTTTGTTGCTTTACTTTCTGTCCTATTAGAGATGTGGGTCCCATGAGCGGGAAAGGCTTGAACCTCAAGCCTCAGCTGCCTGGGGAAGGGATGGAGGGGCTCATACCTGCAGCTCCAGCCAGCTGGGTGGCTGCGTCCTCGTCCCGTTGGCAAACGTCCGCCTCAGCCTCTCTTCACAATAAGGAGCATAACCTGGGGGGCCTCCACTGATGAAGTTCCTTAAATACTGTTGGCAACAGGGAACACCTTGGTTAGAACACTGGCTCCACAGAGTCACGGGATGGTTGGGGCTGGAAGGGACCTCTGAAGATCCCCCAGTGCCACCCCCTGCCAGACCAGGGTCACCCAGGGCAGCCCCACAGGAACGCGTCCAGGCAGGTTTGAAAGTCTCCAGAGCAGGAGACTCCACACCCTCTCTGGGCAGCTTGTTCCATCGCTCTGCTACCCTCATGGTAAAGAAGTATTTCCTTATGTTTATTTGAACCTCCTGTTTCCCAATTTTTGCCCATTGCCCCTTTTCCTGTGACTGGACACCACTGAGAAGAGTCTGGCCCCATCCTCCTGACACCCCCCTTGAGATACTTATGAGTGTTGGTGAGCTCCCCCTGAGCCTCCTCTTCTCCAGGCTGGGCAGCCCCAGCTCTCTCAGCATTTCCTTGTGTGAAAGATGCTCCAGTCCCTCCGTCCTCTCAGCGTCCCTGCGCTGGGAGCTCTCCACCAGTTCCTTGTCCTTCTTGAACTGGGGAGTCCAGAGCCCAAGCATTTTCAAAGGTTACAAAGCAATATTTTGTTGCAAAACAAAACCTTCCGGGACTAATGGCAGCAATATTGTTCAGGCTCAAGATGTTCCCACATCACGTTGCTGGAAGCTAAGATAACATAGAACAGCCTGCACCCTTTCTTCTTAACCTGTGCATTTCTGGTCTCAGTGAAGATAAGACACCAGCTCAGATGGACTTTGATCAAAGCCGGTGCAGCGGTTTTTCTGTTCCTGCTGTTGCTGCCTCCGATTTCTCTCTGTGCATTTTAAAGATGTATTATAAATTGTTGTTGAGTGTTGGCCAAAAAAAGATGAGAGTGAACAAAAAAGATGGGCAAGTAGCGATCCAGGGGAATTGTAAGCCAATGCCACTCAGAATACTCAGCTACCAGTACAAAAGATCTCCTACAATTACATTAAGCAGATGTTTTAGTTAAATTGTGTTTTAGAAGATCCTAAAGCAGAATTTGAAGCTCTTCGCTGTATGATAAAAATATCACCATGTTATTGTAGAGAAAATTAAATCCAGTGGCTTCCACAATATGAAAGACAATACACTGAAAAATATAACATAAATGTCCAAGAAGGTAACTAAGACTTACAGTCCTGTAAATCATATTTTTCAAAGAGACAGTATAGATAGGTAAAGACTTCTCTGAAGGATGACAAATAGCTGTTCCTGCAGGAACACAGATTGCAGCGTAACACTGTCAGTCCATAAACAACGTGGGTGGAGAGACAGATATCTCTGTCAATCATAACTTAGAGAGATACTCTGAAATAACTGGCCGAGTTATAAAGATGGGAGCTGTTGCAAATGATGGCAAGCAGCTGATGTTGTGCAAAAGTTTGGTTTTCACTTGTGCTGTTAATAACAAACTCAGTAATACGATGTTCTTTGTATTTCTCCTTCCTTGTGACTGAACCTTCCCACCCAAGTATGTTGTTGAAGGAAAAGGATAAAGAACAGAAGTGCTAATGTGTCTTGACCCAGGCCCAACACATGATGTGATAAAAGTGTTTAATGGGATCCAAAGCGTGACCTTCATATTTGGGAGCAGGAAAACATATCAAAGACTGCCTCGTTTTCAGCTAAATCCTTCTCGATATGTTCAGTCCTAACTCCACATTTTTGAAGGCTGCGGAACTACATCCAGGCACAAAAGTTTCCTGAAATCCCTCATCTTATTTTTCCATAACACTGCTGCTATTAAAATTAGAGGCAAGGTTTCAGGAGAAAAGTAACCAGGAATTTGGTACAGCATCCCTGCGTCAAAGAAATGCTGAAGAAAGAAATGCTGAGAGTTATTTAACCTTATATGCTTTTCTTTCTATTAAATTGATGGATAATTACTGCTAAATGAGAAGTTTGGGCATGAGTTGTGAGGTTGACAACATGTCCTCTAGCCAACCGGCTGATGGCCAACGCCTGGTTGTTCTGCGTTCAGTGGTGGCTATTGCATGGTTAAAGCAGTAGTAAATCTCATAGTAAACCCAATTTGTTTGACAACTACCTCCTGAAAACATGGTACTAAGAGATTAAGAGTCTGAGAGTAAGGTCTGGTACTGACATGGAATTTGTCTCCCAAGCCAGGACAGGTTGGACGAGATGGCCTTGGTTGATGTAGCTTCCAAAGAGAAGCGTTTACTGAACTCCAGGAAACTTTGAATATTCTGCCCTTCAAGAAACAAAAAAATGAGTCTGCATGTCAACATATGTGGTTTGGGGGTAAAGTTAACATTTCATCATGAGAAGGTTTTGTCTCTAAACATAACTTTTTAGGCTGGAAGGTGTCAGTGATGCCTGCATGGATAACTACAGTGAGTTCAGAGTTGCTCCAAGCCATTGCCCAAGTCACTGCCTGGGTGTTGCTGTTTGCCAGAGCCCAGTGTGAGCTGCTGCAAGTGTTGTTTGAACTCATACTTGAGGACCTTCAGTCACCACAGGCTGCCAAACATCTCCACCAGCCCAAGGTGCAAAAGGATGATGAATAAGGGTAGCATGAGTAGAAACCCTCTCTGAAGCTGTTGGGAATATCACCATGTATTCCAGCACAGACCATAACTTTGGGCAGAGGTACATGTTGCCCAGAGAGATGGTACATGTCCCAGCCTTGGGATCGTTCAGGGTCAGGTTGGACAGGGCTCTGAGTAACCCGGTTGAGTGGGAGGTGTCCCTGCCCATCTCAGGGAGGTTGGAACGAGATGCTCTTTAAGGTCCCTTTTGACAATTCTATGTCTGAGTCTTCAGAGCTACCCGTAAATTATTTCTCAGAAGTTCTTCACTCACCCAAAATAATCTTCTGCTATTAAAGATTTAAACCCACGCAAGCCCCTGCAGCAAACTTTCTCAGATCTCATTTCCAGACATAATTTAATTTTCTGCCACTTTGCCAGTGATCTGTCTGCTTTATTAGATTTCATACTGGCAAGGCCTGGAGATGAAGAAGGGATTTCTATTCTTGGCACTAGCCCTTTCAGTGCTCGAGGACCCAGCACCTCATCTGATATCTATGGAAATTAATGGACTGTCCTTATCTCCAGCAGGCTCCGGAGCAGGTCCAGGCTCCAACGTTCAAAGATCTGAGAGGAACAAAGGAGGTCTTGTGTCATGGCAAAGCAAAGACACATTGTTGGGCCCTTTTCCCTGAGCTAGCTGAACGCTCAGGCATGAGATTAACTTGAGGAGTCCAGCGGGTGTCTGTCAGTCTCTGACAAACAAAGAAGAAGCAGCAGGCAGGCTGTTCAAATCTAGGCAACACATCTTCTCACAGAAAAAAAAAAAAAAAGAAAACCCTTAGGAACAACTCAATTTTCAAAAGTGTCAGCTGCTTAGCATCTCCTGCTGATCCACAGTGCTTCTGGAGACACATCACATGTCATCTCTCCTGTGGCTGTTTGACG